GTGTGGGAGTGTATGAGTGCGTGGGGGCACTGGAGGTGGGGGGGGGGACACCCGCAAAACGGATACCTCAAAAAGGAAGGATGTGAAAAAGGATGGAGGGACGCAGGAAAAGAGGGGGACAGGCTGGTGAAAAACAGTAAGTACATTTATTTTAATGATATTTGCAGTGCGGAGGCATTTTTCGCTGCTTCACCCCGCACACACACGCACACAGGCTGTACTGCTTAGATTAATTGCGGCTCGGGCAGTGAGAGGGTGCTACGCGTCATTGAGACAGGAATAGGGGACTCGGGGGGCCGCATCTTTACGGCCTGATGGAGAGATGGATGGCCGTGGATGGGAGCCGGCGCACCGGGGCTTTGACCCTTCTGTCATTGCTGCGCCTCTTAGCCTCTTAGGTTTCTCACAGTATATTGGGAAGATATTCCAATGATACACGTAATTTACTTAATACCGGAAGCTCAGTTAATCATATTGACTGAAGCTTTGGGCTATGTTTTTGTCTGCCAGGAATGTTCTATGCATTACTAATAAAGACAGAGTTTGGGCTCCGTCTAAGTCTTATTCACCGGCGCACGCTGCAGTTTCCCATCTCACTCTGTTGCGGATGTATAAACTGAGGTGATCATATCTGTTGATGCTCATTTTCTCAGGCTGCGTGGTCAGTGTTAGTGCGTGCGTGCGTGTGTGTATGTGTACGCGAGTGCGTCCGCTTGCTTGTCTTATATAGTCACCCCTAAAGCCCGCAAGTACGCCGATCAGTTTTCTCTTTTGATCTATTTATATTTCAATACGCTGAATATTTGGGCGTGTGGGAGCACACAGTTATTCGCTGTCTAACGAGGAATCGTCCCGATGAGGGTGACTTACCTCAAAGACCCTCAGACAGCTGGAACAGGCGTTTTTTCAGCTGGGTGAAGGAGTGTGTGAGAGACTGCACTTTGTAGGTAGATTTCTAAATCAGCCCAAATAACTTTTGTTTTGGCTTTGCATTACTTTAATAAAGGACAAGTGAATAATAGGTACAAACACTAACCACCACCATCTCCTCTCTCTGAATAAAAGGCCTTGGACTATAGAGACCACCAAAGGAGGAGAAGACACTGTTGACCTGCTGAAAGCAGAGGCACAGTGTTGCTTCTCTTACAGATTTGCTGCAGTGATTGGGAGTGCAAGATCAAATTTATTGGCCTGCACTGTCAGGGCACTGAATGCATTTATCCAGATGGAAATTGGTATTAATGTGTTGCTTGTTTTACCATTTCTGTGAGGTGTTTGCTCCTCTCTCAGCTAGAAAGAGGTGTATGCAGCACTGTACTGCATGCAGTACAGCCCATGAAGTGTTGCCTTCTGTGTCTGTAGAGCCCCCTTCTCTGCTGATCTGTCATACAGTTGCCCAGAGAGATCTGTATTGTACCAGCTGTGAGTAGGGGTATACGGGGGTGGGAGGGTGGGGGTGTCGAGAAAGAAGGCATAGAGGGGAAGAGAGATGAGAGAAGGTGTGAGGCAGAGGAGGCATAGGGAAGATGAACGGAGAGCCAGGTGAGAGATTGGAAAGGCAACAGAAGAGACTATGAGAGAGGCTGGAATTGAATATCTGAGGGAGACATGTTTGGAAGGCACAGGAGAAGAGATGAGAGGAATAGAGTCAACATTTGTGTGCTTGTTTTCTCCAGCCCCATCCTCTTCATCAATTTCATCTCATTGATTCATCGACTTTTGCACAGAAAACCTTCAAGCTTAGCTCAATCCCCTCCTCGCTTGTCTCTCTTTTTCTCTGCCAATCCCCCTGTTTCTTCTTGCCTCAATCCTTTCCGCCTCTTCTCTCACCCTTACAACCTGTGACTTCCTCTGCACAGATTCCTCTTCCCTTTCACCCTCTTTCTCCCACCTCCCCTTTCATCATTTGTTTGATGCAACATTAGTGGATAGTTTCCTCAGTCCTGCGGCCCACCCAAACCCCCCCCCCAACCCTCTGCACACATTGCACCTAGTGTTTCTTTTTAATACAACTAATTAAGGTAAAGCTCGTTAACAGAACATCAATTAGCCTTTGACAAGATCAGAGGCTGGTGTTTTGGAGAAGATTACAGTACTACCCTCTCCCAATGTTCTTCTCTAGACTCTTCTGTGGCTTATACTGATAAATGTGTTGCAGATTCATTTTGGCCAGGAGCAGTGGCATGCCCAGAATGTAATACATGTGGTGATACTGGGGTGCTGTGATGTGGGATGCTTTTGACAGATTGTTTGAATGTGATATTCTGTTTTTGAATACAATTCCTGGAAGGCTTACTCACACTAACAAACTCATTAACTACAAATCTATTTTTTTTTCCGATAACATCTCTCTAGTGCTCATTAAATCAATTCAATTCAATTTTATTTGTATAGCACCAAATCACAACAAATAAATAATCTCAGGGCACTTTACATACTAAGGTCTAGAACCTATTATTATTATTATTATTGAGAAAAACTCAACAAATCCCCCTTGACCAAGCACTTGGTGACAGAGGCAGGAAAAACTCCCTTTAATTGAAAAAACCTCAGACAGATTCTGGCTCTTGTTGGGTGGCCCTCTGCCTAGACCGGTTGGGCTGAGTGGATAGAGGAGAGAGAAAAATAAAAAAGCAACACAACACAGCAAGCAAAACCACAACAATCAAATACTGGACAGGTTGATGTGGCCACTGAAATCAGCAGGGGGACACAGTTTATCAGACTGAGTTTTCTCTGCAGCCAAAATTGTACCTGTAAGTCTAAAATAATCCATACAGTTTATTTAGTGCAATAGCTGTCTTAGTTTTTGATTAAGGTGGACTTTTATATAGTACTAATGGTAATAAAGGCAAACAACAGCAGTTAATTTGTCCTAAAAGAAAGATTTTATCATTCAATACAAGGCAGACACATCTGCAAGTGAAAATACAGTTTAGATGAAATGTATAAATGATAAACAGTTGACAGTATGTGCTGCCTTAAGAAATAACAATCCAGTTCTCTGAAAGTGTACAAACCCAGGAGAGTTGAAGTCTCCTCAGTGTCCAACAGGTTAAAGTTTGGTTACTCAAACAAACCTTTAATCAACATATGGGATTTACTGAGTCAGTGCCACATGTGTAATGTCACACAAACAGAGTTGAAATGATTACCTGATGTTGACTGACAGAAAAAAAATTGGCAGGTTTTGTGTATGAACTAATTTTTTCATTAATTTGTGAGGAACATTCTCTGGCTCCTATGTGAGGATTTCATGATTTTCTCTGTTTTATGTGATTGTAAAGTGAATATCTTTGGGGTCTAGACTGTTGGTAGGACAAAACAAGACATTAAAAAACTTCACCATAGACGCTGAAAAACTGCAAAAAAAAAAACAACACTTTTTAAAACATTTAATTTACCTAATGATTATCTTCATATTTTCCATCCATCCATCCATTATCTATACTACTTATACTGAAGAGGGTAACAGGGGTGCTGGAGCCAATCCCAGCTGACTTTGGGATGAGAGGCGGGGTACACCCCGGACAGGTTGCCAGTCTATAACAGGGCTGACACTTAGAGACAGACACAGCCACAAACACTCACACTCACACCTACGCGTACTTTAGAGTCGCCAATCAACCTGAGCTGCATGTCTTTGGACTGTGGGAGGAAGCTGGAGTACCCAGAGAGAACCCATGCAGGTACAAGGATAACAGGTCCGGGTCAGCCGGAGCTCGAACCCAGAATCTTCTTGCTGTGAGGTGACAACTCTAAACACTGGTCCACCATGTCATCCCATATTATTTATTAACTAATAATAATAATAAAGTCAGTTGCAGTCAAAGAACATAACGGTTTTATAATATATAAGTAGGGAAGACTCATGAGCTCCTGGATTTACTGGTGTATTTACCTTCTTTACCTTACAACATGTTACTGTATATTCTGATTTGAACAATATTTGCTAGTAAACATGAGCAAAACGGGCTTTTCAGGTACCATTAGTGAAGGAACAGCAAATTTCTGCCGATTATCTGTGTTTTTGCCAGAGCTGCTATTCTTGATAATTCAAAGCATCTACCATTAATTAGATGTAAGAGTGATATGATGGATTTGATTATGTAAAGTTGCAGGCAAAACTAAAATGATCCAGTATCTTGGTTCACTGCAGGGTTTTGTTGTTTCTCTCAGAGGGAGAGAAGAGCTGCATTCAGATACTGAATTACAGTTGCTGGGAGAGGAACACATTCTGCTTTGGGTGTGATTAAAATCCAGTTTTACAGAATGAAGTATGGCACAGTGTGAGAATAATCAATATAAAAACAAACTTAGCATGCTGTAGATTAGAAGCTTAGAAAGCACTTTAATATCAATTGAACTCCATATTTTTTTAAATATTTATTTATATAATTATTTCCTAGCAAAGTGGCAGCCCCTGTGGCACCCCTTGTGGCACCCCTGAGGTAAAGCCACTGGCCCAGTTACAGCCCAGCTCTGGACCAGGACTAACAAAGACAGCCAAACACATACTGTAGACAGGAAGACAGGAAGTCATTTAGCAAATAGGTGGCGATGGGAACAGATGGACAGGCTGGCAGAAAAGACAAACAGACACATTCATAAACAGAACGACACAGACAGATACAAACACACAGGTTGGTGAGGGAGAATTTAATGTACACTCCTTTCATGCAGTTGCTATCAAACAGGTACACACACATACACGCACACGCAAATACACGAACCTGAGCCAAAGCCCTGCGGCTTGTATAGGGAATACAAGTCTGGAGGCAGCTAGCATGCACACAGCTTCACATGGCTGCATGCAATACAGTCACACACACACACACACACACACACACACACACATACACACACACTCAAAAAGTACATTCAGGCAAGAGACCCATGGGTATGTAGTCTGACACACACAGGCACACACTTAATACCGACGCATGCATGCACCAAGAGCATACCCAAAAATGCACACACAGTCTATCAAATACACATCACACAATCACGCACCAGCCACAGTTTTAGATCAGAGAGGACCTTGGGACCTTGCCGGTGGGAAACAAACACTGCACTGTACAGTATATATACATTTGAGTGCACAACATATAGACTCACATACTAAACAGGGAAGGA